TAAAAAAATCATATTTCTATTTCAGTATTCATCATTTTGTACAGTGGGGATTCAGATCAATCAAATACACCAAATGTATTAATCCTAATAAACATAAATCATCTTTTTTTTAACACATTAGGTGAATCCCATAGACAGTGATCTCTAAACCCAGTACAACACCTCTGGATCAAATTAGGTGAAAATCTTGGTGAGGAGGTAATCCAGCCATTTGATTAGCTTAAGTTGGAGCAGAAATAGATCTATACCTGAAGGGAAAGTTACTCCTGTTCTATTGAGATATTTGGTTGGAAGCTGGTTGCAGATATAAAAGGTGATAAATATAAAACAAAACCAGATGAAAGACATAACACTCCCAAGTAGTTTTTAGTATTTTAAGTATCTAATTGGAGTCTTGAGTCTAATCTAGGCATTATATAATTGATATTGTGTGAAGCATTGATAGTAATATGTTCTGGGTATTTTATTTTTGTTCTGGAGAACTGCAAAAGCATCAAGAGTAGATGGAGCTTGATCTTTGTTAACAGAATATTTTCTCTTACAGTATGACAAAGAGCCAAATAAGTATCTCTGATATTGGAGGTAGATGTTTATGAAAACGTTATAGCTGTTGTTTTCTAAATCAGCTTCTATTTCTGATTAAATAGAGGAAAAAGAAAGTATATGACAGTGTTTTATTTCCTGGAGATAATTCTTGATGTTTAAGCCAAGATCCAAAAGTTCTATGTCCCTAGGAAAGGTTTCGATTTGTAGAAAATGGATGCCATACTCATCCAGAAGACGATCCTGTTGATAAAATGGTAGAGACATTTGAACTGACCTTTGATGATGCAATGAAGATTAATCATGGTTTGATTTTAAGTTTTTCCGTCTTTGACATCTGATGCTGGTTAAGATAAGATTAGACTACAAGGGTGACTCTCCTGTCCTCTAAGGGCTGACAAAGAGTCAGAGCAGAATCTGGATGGCTGTTTATTACTGCAGTTTGCACCACCTGAATCTACAGAGTCATATAATTGGTACTGTTTGTTGCAGCGCAGGACTAACCTGGCATCAGCTAGATTGATACGTGTAGAACATAGATGAGTTCTATGTTATCAAGCTGTGACGGCTGCTGTTAAGTCTGCATGTGAAAAGGAGGGACGTTTAATACTCCGAGCTGATTAAGTGACATGCCTGCTAGGGGTGTAAATCACACCCATCATGGCGATTCGATTCACTATCAATTTCCTGACCCACCGATTCAATTATTTTTAATACTGAAGAATACAACACGATACGATTCGATTCGATTAATTGGTTAATTTTTTTTTTTTAACCTTACAGGCTAGATAATGTTTCAAATTCTAAATAAATCAATGAAAGCTGTAATAATGTTATGCATTTTATTTGAGAATATACAGCAAACAAAAGAAGTAGCAAAGTTGTACTCCACCTAGGCCTATGAAAACCTTATTCACTGAAAAATAATTATGCCCCTGTTTTATAGATTCTGAAAGCATAAAAAAATACTGCAATGCATAAGTGCACCAGCAGATTAAGTAACAAAAATAGGCCTATACTACACCGCAGTACGCGGGTGTCAGAATTACATCCAGGAGCAAATGGATAAAAATAGATTGGAGGAAAAAAAGCATGAATCGATACTCTTGCTGATGTGTCGATGCCTCGGATCGTTGGCTGTTGGATCGATGCATCGATATAAAACGATTATTATTTACACCCCCTAGTGCCAGCTAGTACCTGCCTTCCACAATACGCTTTTAGCCAATCGTAGCATCGAATTGTGACGTTTTCACAACTAGCAGAGTAAGCTGATAAATCGAACTTTTCCTAAATCCTGTCGGAAGAAAAGCATAGACATCTTTTCCATCGACAAATGCACAAAGTGCTTTTCTTTGCTCCTTTTTTAAACGAGAAGTTGTCGCTATTTTAGCTAAAACCAAGTCTATTGCGGTATCGACAGGTGAGTCCTCCAGCGTAGCCATGTTTGTTGCAATGCCCCTCTGACTGTCTTCATTCCTACATGTCCCGCCCCAAAACCCACTGCTGGCATGTCATTGATCCAACTCACTGGTTGTTACGAGACAGACGTATTAGCGAGAGTCCTTCAAAATAGATTTTTTAACTTTGCTGTGAGACTGAAAAATCAGATCTCGTGACATTTCAGCTTGCAGCGCAAGGTTAGCACTGCAGGGATCCACAATTGCGACATTCAACACTTTCTAAAGAGTCTTTAGAAGTACTTTGCTAACCTAGAATTTCGAAATTTTGGTGAACCTTGCACTGTTTTAGGCGTTGGTTCAGGATCTCCTTATTTTGCCTACCCCATTTTGTTGAATGTGTAGGGACTCTGGGGTGGGGGACTGGCCCCCCTTTAGTATGTAGAGTCATCCTTTGTCTGGAGGTATTTTATCTTTTTAACCTCGTTCCACCTCATCTCAGTCTTGGACAACTTAAGTTTTGTACCTCTTTCTTTATGCAGACATCTGATGTTTGGCTTGGAATTGAAAATACTTTTTAGATTCCAGTTGGGATTCATGCTTTTACAACAGGGTCAACTGACAAAGAACATCTGTAATCAGAATGTTTTTAGTTGGATTTTGAATGAAAGGAATCAATTCCAGAATCTTTTCATCACATAGAGCAAGGTTGAAGCTATTTGAATTCTCCAACTCTTTTGCTGATACGTTGAGGAGGTTTGCAACCCTGTCAACCCTGTCTCTCTATGTGGGGTCCACCATGTGTGCAGCCTTAGCTGTGTGGATTTTTGACTCCATTGTTGCTGATGGCAAAAGTTTCAAAATAACATTTTCAAGCAAAACACTTTCCAGTCAGTGCATGTCCAACTATATATGTATGTATTTATGATTTATTTAGAAACACTTTACATTCAGTGTTAAAGATTCTATGCCTTGCTTAAGAAATTATTAGCTGTTTATTATTAGCTCATGCTTGTCTTTAAGGATGTATTATTATTATTTAGCTCATGCTTCACCTTCCTTACGGGATTGTAGCAATTTTGCTGAAGTTATTTGTCATTTTGCAGTCATGTTTTGTTTATCACATCCTGTCTGCAGACTGCTTGTTAGTCAACCAGATGTGCTGTGGTTTTATGAAACTATTTAACACCACTCTGTGCCAATATGTAGGTGATCCCTCTGTTCACTGATTTTCGTTTATCTAAGAATGGGATTAAATCAAGGTAACCCAGATATCCTCACA